AAAAGGAGGCCACCCGGGGGGGGGGAAAAGGGGGCACCCCCGGGAAAAAAAAAAAAAAAAAAAAAAAAAAAAACAGAAGAAGAATGGTAGAAGAGACAAGATTGTCCAGGAAGAGCCTGACTTCACTTCATGTAAACATGCACAAACCCTACTGAATTCCCTGCAGGTGGCGCTATTAATGTAGCAAAGCAATATGTAATGGAACAGGTGGATCATTATTGTATTATATTAATCTAATCCATGAAATGTCTCACAACATTTTCAGGGAGCTTGTGGATTCGAACCACTACGTACGAACCGTAGCAGTACCACAGGAAATGATGGGTGTTGCACAGAATATGTCACAAGCATCCATTCAACAACAAAAAAAGATTGAAAATAATCTATCTGTCCACAGGCTGCTCAGTGTTTTTTGTCCACACAGACCACCACAGTCTCCTGCTCTCTAATGTCCACACAAACCACCACTGTCCCCTGCTCCGTCTTTAATGTCCACACAGACCACCACTGTCTCTTGTTCTGTCTCTAATGTCCACACAGACCACCGCTGTCCCCTGCTCTGTCTTTAATGTCCACACAGACCACCGCTGTCCCCTCCTCGTCTTTAATGTCCACACAGGCCACCACTGTCTCTTGGTCTGTCTCTAATGTCCACACAGGCCAATACCTCCTCGTCCTCCTCGTTTGGCGCTACAGGACTGACATCAGTCTGGAAATTAACCCTGGGCTGAGCACTGCCCCCTGGTGGATGCATTGCTTAACCGATGTCAAATGAAAGGCACGTGTGGGGAGTATGTGGGCAGTGATGTCTGAAACAGACGTATATGTACAAGTCAGACCTAAAGAGGAGCATGGTCATGATCAGAGTGAGACGACAGCATTCATAGTGAAACCTCCACACGGGAAAGCCGCACTTCTTCAACACCTCCCAGGAAGAAAACCCCAAAGACTAATTCAGGGGTGAGAACATAAATATTTTCATACACGTGATTCCATGAAAAATGACACCGCTCTTTTCAAAGTCACTCAATAACTGTTCACACTTGAAGGAACATACATCTTCCCGTGGGGCCAGATGTTCATCTGATGACTCTTCTCAGCTCTGACACGCCTGAAACGTTTAACCTCATCCACACCAGTGCTTTAGGATGCTCGTGTTGTGCTGTTCACTCTCCAGTGAGTACTATTGATCCTAATTGGGGGTGGGTGGGAGGGGGCAGCGTCTTATCCATTAGAGCTGAGTGAGTCTGTCGTCTGTCTCCTGCTCAGAGCAGACGGAGTGGAGTAGACGGATGAGAGCGTGGAGAAAGATGGAGAAAGATGGAGGAGGAGATCATTACACAACGCCTGACAGGGACTGGGGAAGAACAAGTTACTGTCTTCAGCTGAAAACTATTCAATTTCACACTGGAGTGCCATTCTGTTAAAGGGCAACAGCAAGAGACCATTCACAATCATTCACACTTACATTCACACCTGCATCCGGCATCAGGGCTGCCTGATTAAACCCTGACAAAAGAAAAAAAAAATCAAATCAAGACTGGACAAAAAACATAGCCAAAACTAAAAGAAAAAACAATGAACAATATCGACAAGTAAATCAGAAGTTGCTTTAATTTAGCCCAGTCTGATCTAATTTTACAAGAAGCCATCAAAAAAGTCATTAACCACCTCCGACTCCCACATCCATCGCCTCCTCTCCATGCTCCTTTTAGTGGGTTTTAAACCGACTCACAGAGGGAAGGAAACAGGAATGACACAAAGTCAATGAGCAGATCTACTCTGTTGTTGTTGTTAAAAGATTATAATAATTAAAGAGATAATATGTTAATGAGTT